TCAAAAAACTATTGTCTAAGTAAATGCTCATAAAATAATGATCCTCTTGTGGCATCCAATTTAGATTTAATGACTGTGTTCCATCGATATTCGATGCGTGATTCTTGTAGCATGTACTTACTTTCCAACAAAAATAAAATCGAAATATCGTAATTGCAAATGTTAAAAAAATTGGAATAGATGGTTCCTCTTTTATTTAATACAAAGTATGAAAAATTACATTTGTTTTTTAGGTCTCAAATAGAAATGATAATTATAGTTGAGGTAGAAAACAAGTAAATACATAAAAAGTCCTCATCAATTCTAAATAAGTATGAAAGTCTAGTCTATAGTCTAGTCCTCTAGTCTAGTCTATAGTCCTAGTCCCTATTCTAGTCTAGTCCTATAGTTCTAGTCTATAGTCTAGTCTATAGTCTAGTCTATAGTCTAGTCCTATAGTCTAGTCTACTAGTCTATAGTCTAGTCTATAGTCTAGTCTATAGTCTAGTCTATAGTCTAGTCTATAGTCTAGTCTATAGTCTAGTCTATAGTCTAGTCTATAGTCTGGGTCTATAGTCTAGTCTATAGTCTAGTCTATAGTCTAGTCTATAGTCTAGTCTATAGTCTGGTCTATAGTCTAGTCTATAGTCTAGTCTATAGTCTAGTCTATAGGTCTGGTCTATAGTCTAGTCTATAGTCTAGGTCTATAGTCTAGTCTATTAGTCTTAGTCTAAGTCTAATAGTCTGAGTCTATAGTCTAGTCTATAGTCTAGTCTATAGTCTAGTCTATAGTCTAGTCTATAGTCTAGTCTATAGTCTAGGTCTATAGTCTAGTCTATAGTCTAGTCTAAGTCTGTCTATAGTCTAGTCTATAGTCTAGTTCTATAGTCAGTCTATGTCTAGTCTATAGTCTAGTCTATAGTCTAGTCTATAGTCTAGTCTATAGTCTAGTCTATAGTCTAGTCTATAGTCTAGTCTATAGTCTAGTCTATAGTCTAGTCCTATAGTCTAGTCTCTAGTCTAGTCTATAGTATAGTCTATAGTCTAGTCTATAGTCTAGTCTATAGTCTAGTCTATAGTCTAGTCTATAGTCTAGTCTATAGTCTAGTCTATAGTCTAGTCTATAGTCTAGTCTATAGTCTAGTCTATAGTCTAGTCTATAGTCTAGTCTATAGTCTAGTCTATAGTCTAGTCTATAGTCTGGTCTATAGTCTAGTCTATAGTCTAGTCTATAGTCTGGTCTATAGTCTAGTCTATAGTCTGGTCTATAGTCTAGTCTATAGTCTAGTCTATAGTCTAGTCTATAGTCTAGTCTATAGTCTAGTCTATAGTCTAGTCTGTAGTCTAGTCTATAGTCTAGTCTATAGTCTGGTCTATAGTCTAGTCTATAGTCTAGTCTATAGTCTAGTCTATAGTCTAGTCTATAGTCTAGTCTATAGTCTAGTCTATAGTCTAGTCTATAGTCTGGTCTATAGTCTAGTCTATAGTCTAGTCTATAGTCTAGTCTATAGTCTAGTCTATAGTCTAGTCTATAGTCTAGTCTATAGTCTAGTCTATAGTCTAGTCTATAGTCTAGTCTATAGTCTAGTCTATAGTCTAGTCTATAGTCTAGTCTGTAGTCTAGTCTATAGTCTAGTCTATAGTCTAGTCTATAGTCTAGTCTATAGTCTAGTCTATAGTCTAGTCTATAGTCTGGTCTATAGTCTAGTCTATAGTCTAGTCTATAGTCTAGTCTATAGTCTAGTCTATAGTCTAGTCTATAGTCTAGTCTATAGTCTAGTCTATAGTCTAGTCTATAGTCTAGTCTATAGTCTAGTCTATAGTCTAGTCTATAGTCTAGTCTATAGTCTAGTCTATAGTCTAGTCTATAGTCTAGTCTATAGTCTAGTCTATAGTCTAGTCTATAGTCTAGTCTATAGTCTAGTCTATAGTCTAGTCTATAGTCCAGTCTATAGTCTAGTCTATAGTCTAGTCTATAGTCTAGTCTATAGTCTAGTCTATAGTCTAGTCTATAGTCTAGTCTATAGTCTAGTCTATAGTCTAGTCTATAGTCTAGTCTATAGTCTAGTCTATAGTCTAGTCTATAGTCTAGTCTATAGTCTAGTCTATAGTCTAGTCTATAGTCTAGTCTATAGTCTAGTCTATAGTCTAGTCTATAGTCTAGTCTATAGTCTAGTCTATAGTCTAGTCTATAGTCTAGTCTATAGTCTAGTCTATAGTCTAGTCTATAGTCTAGTCCATAGTAATACTTAAATGCTAAAAAGGTCAATACATAAAGGTCAGAAATTCAGATTAAATTTTTTCCGATAGATAGAACATTTTAAAATCTATCAAAACAATTAATACCTTTCCATCACTGCGTTAAAGGACAAAACAAAATTAAAGTAAGTAACTTTAAACATAAAATTAAATGCTTGTAAATATGATTCTCCATAGTACCTTCATTCATTAATTGCATTTACATTTTCTTTGTGATCTTGGCAAATATGTGGGTCATTCCGGATTACCCTACAAAAGGCAAACGAAAAAAATGTTGACAAAAATTTCTTTACATTTTATTTTTGAAAAATAATCTTTCTTATTTTTTTTAAACCAACGCATGATGATTGTCCACATTCAGAAAACATGGTCGGTAACCTAAGATGACATCCAAATCAAGTATTGTATTGAACACAACGTAATTGTAATTTAACAAGAAAATAACTTAAATATTGTTGGTTACTGTTGCTGCTCAAGCATTTATTCATTTGTTTCCTCTTCGTTCATTCGATCGTTGTTTGTCATGTTTTATGTAGATGATGATAATCAGTGAATGTTTAACAAGTTCCTTAATAAAAAAAGGGATTATGTTGTATTTTGTTTAAATAAAAAAAAAGAAATTAACGATTCAAGAATCAGACAATATTATATTATAAAATTGGTGTTAAAATTCCGTTTGTCATTGTGTTTATGGCGCAGCACACAATTTGGCTGATCACAGTTTATTTTCAAATTATTTACATTCAATTTTAAATGCATATTTACGGGGGTCCATTACATGGGACAATACCAGGCATGGACAATTGAGTACTTTAGTACTATTGATATCAAAAATACCGCGGTACCCCCAAGACATTTTCGGTATTTTTTCCAAGTTATATACTTTTTGATAAGAAGTCCTCATTGTAGTAAATAGATCAGTCTATAGTCTACAGTCAAGTTTATAGTCTAGCCTACAGTCCTAGTCTATAGTCTAGTCTATAGTCTAGTGTATTGTCTAGTCTATAGTCTAGTCTATAGTCTAGTCTATAGTCTAGTATATAGTCTAGTCTATAGTCTAGGTCTATAGTCTAGTCTATAGTCTAGTCTATAGTCTAGTTTATAGTCTAGTCTATAGTCTAGTCTATAGTCTAGTCTATAGTCCTAGTCTATAGTCTAGTCTATAGTCTAGTCTATAGTCTAGTCTATAGTCTAGTCTATAGTCTAGTCTATAGTCTAGTCTAGTAGTCTAGTCTATAGTCTAGTCTAGTCTAGTCTAGTCATAGTCTAGTCTAGTCATATCAGTCATAGTCTAGTCTATAGTCTAGTCTATAGTCTAGTCTATAGTCTAGTCTATAGTCTAGTCTATAGTCTAGTCTATAGTCTAGTCTATAGTCTAGTCTACAGTCTAGTCTATAGTATGTCTAACAGTCTAGTCTATTAGCTAGTCTATATTCTAGTCTATTAGTCTATAGTCTAGTATAGTCTAGTCTATAGTCTAGTCTATAGTCTAGTCTAGTAGTCTAGTAGTCTATAGTCTAGTCTATAGTTTTAGTTTATAGTCTAGTCTATAGTCTTGAATAAACTGGTTATGTAGAAGAAAACTAAAGTGTAAAATAATTTTTGTGTAGCAATGTTTAGAACAAAACACCTTAAAGTATGCTAACTTAACTATAAAAGTATCATTAGTAACAGTTTTTCATAACGAATATTTCGATAATTTTGAATAATAGGTAAAATAATAGTTGGCATATAGTTGTCCACAATAGCAATAGCAAAAAGTAAGAGTTCTATGTCACCATAGTGCGTAAAAAAACAGTCAATACGTATTTTATTACAAAAAGATCTAAAAATACCGATTTTATAGGTTTTTTTTTCAATCAGGACGCAGCGTGTTTAATTCATTGAATTATCTCCAAAATTGCGACCTGTAGTTTGATTAAAAGGTTTACAAGCCCTATTCGGGGTTTCAGTTGTATGGGGGCTAGGTGAAATAATGGACCGATCTTAACCATTTTCAATAGGCTTCGTCCCTGGGATAACAGATCATGTACCAAATTTCATTGAATTATCTTCAAAACTGCGACCTGTAGTTTGATTACAAGGTTTACATGGACGGACAGACGGACGGACATAGCTAAATCGACTCAGAAAATGATTCTAAGCCGATTGGTATACTTTAAAGTGGGTATAGAACCAATATTATTGTGCGTTACAAACATCAGCACGAACCCAATATACCCTCCCCACTAAAGTAGTGTAGGGTATAAAAAGATTCAATAAGTACTAATTGAACAACAAAAAGTACCGAAAAAATTAAGTCCTGTAGATTTTCATTCCATCACATACATACATATGTATGTTGCAAAAAGTACCAGTTGAAGATCGAAAAAGTACCAATAATTCATTTCTACAGATTTTCATTCACTGAGGTCTCGGAATGTGATTTTTTCCTTTCTAGATTCAATATTATAGAAAATTAAAAATGTACCTTTTGAAAACCGAATGAGTACAAAAAATTCCCCTCTTATAGGTTATCATTTACTATGGGCTCTGCATGCTTAATTTTATATTTCTTTTTTATATTTTTATATTTTTTTAAACATTTTGTTAGCCTATTAAAAATAATGAATTCGGTCCATGTTTTCGCATAGCCCCTATACAAAAATCTCTACAAAAATTAGCAAATCTTAGTTTCATATATGTAAGTCTAAATGAAACTGCCAATTTTCATAATGATCGGTCCCCATTTGATCCCTTTATACAGAGAGGACCATATTTACCTTTGCCCCAATGTAACCCCATTTCAGAAAATAACTTTTTTTTGGCAGGAAATTGGTAAAATATTTAGGAATTAAGGTAAAATGCTTTATTATTAGGAAAATAATCCAAATTTTAAAGACCAGTGGATAGTATGGTATCATATAATCGGCCATGTCCAACTATATTTTAAATTCACAACAAAAGTATTAATATTCCACAAAGTACAACAACAATATTTATTATATGAAGCTGTATGTTGTTTTTTATTTCTTTTTGTTAAAACATTCACAAAAATGCATTTTTTTAACAAATTTTTAGAGGTTGTCTCAGATTTTTCTTATATCTTCGTTACTTTTTATCCGATTTTGGTGATTTTAGATGAGGATCTTTTCGAACACATGTTTGAAAGAATTATTGAAAATTCGGATCTCGCCGTTATCTGGGATCTTTAGAAAATATTGCTTAAATTGTATCTGTTATTTACAAACGTATTGTAATGTTATTCTAAATAATTGTAATGAATGAATTTTGCCCATAGGGCCAAAATTACTCTTGGGTCTGTGAAATACAATAAGCAATACATGGAAAATTTTAAATTTCAATTTTCAAATGCCATAGATGTAACAGAATTATGAATTCAGATAAATAACCAAATATAATAAAATGCAGTTAGAGATATCCTGTGAAAAACTTCTAAATTTAAATCTAAACAAGAACTTTGTAGCATTACAATTTACAAACAAACAAAATGTTTGTTTATTTTAAACATCTAACCTGATCTAATCCATTGAATTAAAATTTCCCGATTTTTAAAATTTCAAATAAAGCATTTGTAAAAATGTGTGTTTTTAAAAATAAATTTTACATTTATTTCTATTTTGAACTAACGTTCAAAATATTTGTTTTCTTATAAAAAAAAACAATACATGACCCTCACATATTACGCTTGTGATTCTTATAAAGAATTGTTGTATGTAATTAAAATCTTAAAAAAAACATTGCTAATTTACATTTCAGCAGCTTCATCATAGATGGGCACAACAGCGGGCATTTTGTATTCTGTTTCAGGAGTTTCGTAGATTTTCTCTTCTTTGGGTTCGACAACAGATACATTATCGGGCAAGGGCTTCTTGGGGCCGATCTTGTTCTTGGGATCGTAGGGCAACATAATCTTGACCTTGATACCCAAAACACCTTGACGCAACAAAACGTGACGGGTGGCGGTTTCAACGTAATCGTTGCATGGATCACCAGAGTGGATCATGAGACCATCGACGAATTTCATGGACTTAGCACGTTGACCACGCAATTTGCCGGAAACAACGACTTCGCAACCCTTGGCACCAGATTCCATGATGAAACGCAAGACACCATAGCAGGCACGACGAACAGCCAAACCTCCGGTCAACTTGTAACGGAGGGATTCAGCTTGAGCGATGGCGCACAAACCACGGGTGGCGACCTTTTCGGCGTACAATTCAATACGGCCAGGTTCGAAGTTGAAACGCTTTTGGACCATAGCGGTCAATTCACGAATGCGGCGACCCTTTTCACCCAAAACCTGTTGGGTCTTGGTGGCCATGATGATGATTTCAGTACGGGCGGGGGTAACACGTACTTCAACACCGGAGTAACCATCCTCGGCGAGTTCACGAGTCAAGAACTCGTTCAATTCAGCCTTGAACATGCCATCGGCAACAAACTACAACAAAAAAAGAAAACACACATTACAAACTTCATCACCAATTCTTAATTTAATTAAAAAGAATCATTCATTTTAATCTGTATACATTTTTTCTTATTTATCTCTAGTCAGCCTCTACAAGTTGGCAAGCCAACATATTTTGACACTTGACACATTTGAGGTTAGTTCATGATTTTCACTGTTTTTATCAAATTTTAACACTTTTCACATAAAATTTTTACACTTTTTAACATGCCATTGAAAAATACCGTAAATTATAATTAATTTAAAGGTATTTTTATAAAATTACCTTGCGTTTTTGGAAATTGTGAGGCTCATGTTTATTTCATACGACTCGCAGAGAACGTGGTCAGAAAAAGAAAGAAAGAGCAATATGGCGGCCAGCCGTCATCGTAAAAAGTGTGACCAAGTTAATTTTACCAAAATTATCGATTTCAGTACTGCCAAACAGATAATCATGTGTATTCAACACGATTACTTGTTTACGGGCGTTTTCACCACAACCATACAGTGTTGCATTTTTGATGTTTTAGGCAAGTTTAACACCAGGGTTGTTTTTTTATTGTTATAATAAAAAATTTAAGTACTGCCAAATAAATCATATTTGTATGATTGACTGGCAAAATAAAAAATCCCTAAAACTTTTTGTTTATTTAAAAAGAAAACAAATTGTATTCAATTGGAACTAAAATAAATATATCTAGTTTGTTCTCTTAAATCTTATAACCCATTTGGACCAAACGAGTGATCAATATATTTAGTATTTCGGCTGAAATCGACTTCAAGTAACTTGACATACCTAACCTAACCTATGCGAATTAAAATTTTGTTGATTCAAGTAGTCGAATAAATTTAAAAACAATTCTGTTATTGGAACGAATGACGAATTAGAGTTTTTATTGTAATAATAAAACATAAACTAAAAATCGTTATTGTTTAACAGAAAATAAAAAATAAATAAAGATGAATTGAGAAATGAATGTAAATATATTGATATCTAAAAATTAACATTTTTAATAAAATAAATTCAAACTAAATTTTCAGGAGTTACAAACATTTAATGATTTATAATATAATGTAGAATATCTTCCGCATTATCTATTCAAATTTTGTGTATCATTCGAAAGGGCTTTTAAAAGGCTTTCACACGATGTATAACAAAATCTTTTGCATTAACCCATTGAACGCCATCTCGAAAATTGTGATTTTTATTAAGGATTTTTATGCAAATTTAAGAATTTCGATTTCAACACAACATATAAACTGAAATTTGAATAGGAGTTAGAATTAGTCTCATTTGATGTATGTACATTGCAAATTCGTAACTTCTTCTTTTATTTTAGACGTTTAGTTATTCATTCATATTTAAATTGAAAAATATGATTTGCTTGAACCAATTTTTAACAAAATCATACTTTTTCATTTGACATACATATTTATATTATGAGATTTTTTCACAATTTCGCACACATTTCTTTTTGAATATTAATTTTGCTTATATGTGCTTACTGTTTACTCCATGTTTATATTTGTTCCTATAATTTTTTTCGTTTTTCTATATTCTGGATCCTTTTTACCGCATTTTATTACTTCTTTATCATTTAATATTTTTTAATGTTATATTTGAGAAAATTTAAGGCTAAATTTGTTATATTTTTCAAGAACCGATGTAATATTTTTTTCTAGACTGTCAAAGTAAAAAGCAGTGTTACAATTGTAATTTCGACACATGAAACATATTTGGAAACCTTCAAAAGGGAACAACTACGTCATCTAACGGTAAAGCATGAGCAAGGCGTAATCTTTAGTTTATTATTTTATTATTGATTTTTTCCTTAATGCAAAAATTTTCTGGGTCAAAATAGGCCGATCCTCATAGAACTTGGTAAAAGGATTTGTTTTTATTTTTTTAATTTTTAAGAATTAATAAAATTTTTTAAATATTTTTTTCACAGGCATACTCGGTTTTTTGTTCCGTTATTTATGAACCTATTATGTTGAAACTTCTCGAAAGATGTCTGACAGAATTATTAATAAATTTGGATCCAGGAGATATCTGGGATCTTCAGAAAATTTATTTGAACAGATGGACGGACAAGGCTCTATCGACTCCGCTATTTATAAGGATACAGAATATATATACTTTATAGGATCTAAAAATTATGTTATAGAAATTACAAACGGAATGACAAACTTATATATACCCTTCGCACGAAGGTAAAGGGTATAAATATGAAGAGTTGAAATAGAAATAGTTCTAGTGAGTTTAAAAATAAATCTTGTGAATATGAGTTGTATAACGAGAGAAATACATAAAATATTATTTACGAATACAAAAATGTCCTACTCTGGTCAACAATCACGATTTTAAAAATATTTGCTTCCAAAATCCCACTTTTTAATCTCTCGGATTCCGTTCTTATTTAAAATCGTTCATAATTTAAAAACTAAACGTATTTGAAAACTTTGACGGCTTAAAGCCGCCGCCAATTTTTTAGTGTCAGCCGCCGCCCTTTATATTTGTCTACGCAAGGCCAGAGACTTCCGCCGATTCGGCTAAGCCTAGCCGCCGAACGAAATGTCAAAGCCGGCGCCGCCGAAAATTTTTCAGCTTAATACGGCTTGAAAATTTCGCCATATTTTATACAATTTACAGAATACTTTCGCTAAATTTGTGGAATTTTACAATATAAAATTAATTTGTTTTCATTTAAGCAAGTTTTCTTTTATCTAATAATAAGCCGCTCATTGAAATTTGGCCGGTGTAGAACTTTGCTCAACCTTTGATGTATATGCTTCGCCTCAGATATTTTCGTGTTTTCGCGCCTAATTCGAGTCGCTGCTTTGACTTCAAACCAGCTTCGTTGACGTCAACGGAGCTACACCTTTTTACATTGCTGGTATGTCATACCGTAAAGGGCTAGGGTATCGAACAAAGTATATTAATAAAGTAGCGACATCTCTTGTTGTACAACAACATCTACAACAACCACATGTATTTTGTTTTTGGAATAATTTATGATTGCGTCAAAATAAAATTTCCTTGAACAACAATGTGAACAAAACATAAATAAAAAATATTACTTTTAAGTTAAAAATATTAACGATTTAATTATATTATTATATATTATACAATTTATTACACTTTTAAACTACTTTAAAACCACTTTTAATTCACTTTTTCAACTTTTCACAAATTTTAACAAATAGCAAAACACAATTTAAAAATGGCGACGTAAACAATGTTAACAATTTTCAAAACAAACTTTGACAATTTGCTTCATTTATCTAGTTTAAAAAAAATAGTCAGCTGTTCAAGTGATGCTACTTTATTAAT